AACATAAAAATTAAAGAAATTAATGTAGCTATCACCATATGAAAGAATTCTCAGCTCTCTACCAAGGTAACGTAGAAGGAAACCTGAGTACAGCCATTAGAGAGGAAGCCCACCTCTACAACAGGATGACAAAAATGGAAATGGTCTTCAAATTGTTGTGCAAATCGGGCTTCCTTGGCCGGATATCAGTTTCTCTCCCTGCTGTGAGCTGACCACTCAAGATAGTGAAAGGTCAGCAATCATCTTGACAAGATAATCCAGGTAAAACTCCCAACTGAAGCAGAAGTTCGAGCTCCATTCAAGCCTTTCAGCGAGATCTTTATAATCATAATCAGCAGAAAAATATACTACTTTGCCGAGGGCTATAGAGACTTGCACCATTAAAGGTAAAGCATCATTTTGGTATAATTTTAGTGGCTGAACAGTATTAAATGACCACATTGACATATAATGAATGTGGCTTATGTACAGCAAAGCTTTATTTTAAGAAGCCTTGAAGTGTTGCATGCATTTTTTGAGTCACTCAGCCTTGGTACTACCTTCCCAGGAGAGAGGTTCTCATTTAAACTTCAAGAAAAACAGCTGCAAGCTGTATTCTGGGCTCACCACCACCTCCACCCCCTGCCTTTGCGCTCCTGAAGCTTTGAGAAAATTACTTTGTAGGAGCTTGGAAATACAGAGTCAGAGCAAACATCAGCTATGAATCTATAATTACAATCTGTATACAATCTTACATTTAGTAGTGAGATACTTATACCTGAGACAACACTAGGTTAAAACTCAGGATTTAAGAAAATACTGTTTATAAGTAAGCATGCTAATAACTCATAGCACTAGCTTTTTTGTTGGTATTCTCTTCATTTGCAATCACTCTTGCAAACCTCAACTCATCACTGAAAGCTGCAATGCCAAGGTATAAGACAGTCTGTACTTTTGACTCATCAGCTCTTACACTGCCACCTCCCAGCTGCAAGCACTATTCTGACAAACAATTCAAATCATAAGAAAGCAAAAGCAGAGTCAAAATTACACTCCATTACAGTAAAACAGCTGACAACCCTTAGCTGTCCTCAAATGAAACAAAAGCAGTGTCTCTATGTGTGAAAGTGAAACCATGAAGAGGAGGGACAATTAAGCAGGGGGAGGGAAGTATAAGCAAGCAAAGATAATCTAAATCAAAATAATACGGGTCCACAGAAATCTACAGTAACTTATCTATACACTTTAAAAGGCAAACATTAAACATGTTGGTCAAGTTCCAAACCCAACTGCTATTGTTATAAAGATCTAGAAAAACATAATCAAATTTAACTGTAACTCAGGGTCTTGAAGAAACCAGGTTCCAGTTATAAAATATCTTTTACTCCTTTATATTATGCATTAATGCAAATGCTTGCTTGCTTTGGGCATTTTAAATAGCAAAATAGGGCAAGGGGGGGAGGAGAAAGACTAATTCAAAATATTTTTTACATTATGAAAACGTTTCCACATAGTCAGTGGCAACAGTTTCTCTTCTGGATGCTTGGTATAAATGCAAGTATTCAACAAATCTTAAACTACTTTCAAAGATGCATTCTGTAATCCATGTTGGGTAATACACACACAGGCAGAGCTGCAGCAGTTTAAGTTCCTATCCTGCCTTGTAACTTCACTCCATGGAAACTGAGCTAAGACAAGACAGGATTACATGGGGATCAGCACAATTTTCTTCACAACATAAAAACAGAGAACCCCCTGCTTTTTCCCCATTTTAAGTAATGAAACCAATACATCATTTTAAACCTACATTTAAGGTGTTTAAGGAGCATCATGAAACCTGTGTGCTCACAAACAGAAAAAGCTTTGCTTTCACGTGACAGTGATGCGTGTTAAGACTGTTTAACACGGGCAGACCCCACTGTCACTCCTGCTGTGTCCTTTCCTCTGTCACCACAACAGGTAGAAAATGGGTTTTTAATAAAACGCAGGCCTGCAGCATAAGACTGTGATTAGATGGATTCAGTTGTACAAACCAACAGATCACTGACACCAAAAACACAGCCCAGCTCTCTCATCTTGCTTCCGACACAGTCCTCCCTCAGTGTATCTTGTCCTCTGGTATGCCAGTTCAACCCTGGGACCTGAGAAATAAGTTGCTATTTTCTGGTCCTTCCCTGCTGGATGAGTGGGTTAAACCAACTCATTAAGGAG